GTTACTTAGAAATGACAATTATAGCGTTAATCTTTATCTATAAAATATAATCTTTATAATCTATAAAATATCATTAATAATGATATTTTATAAGTAATCTTTCTATATAAATCACTTCTAAACTAAATATAGTTTAATAAACTATATTTAGTTTAGAAGATTTATATAGAAAGATTACTTATAAAATATCATTATTAACGTAGGAATGAAATTTGAATGACTAACATAAATAAAATCGTCGGTATGAGTGCGTTAATTCAGCTTTACGCTTAAGTTTAATGTGAAATCTGTCTGATATAATGAAATGATAACAAAACACAACTAACAGTGAAAGTAATGTAATCTTACATTCTCTTTCATATTTGTATTCAGACGGTCGCAGTAAAATAACAGCAAAATTTCCAAATTAATTTGATTATCTCAGAAAGCATACTCGAGTGAATAGCGCGTTACACAGGTTGCGTACGAATGTTATTAATGAGTACAACAAGCATATAATAAGCATGTATTTACATTATTACACGTGAGTGAAAGGGTAGTGTGATCAACTAACATAAATTTTGTCTTAGCGCTGCCGTACAAAGGCACACGCTCGCTACAAGCTTCGAGCGAGCTTTTTCATGTATCTCGCCTTGCATGAGAGCGTTTCACTGGCCGCGTTCAAGCCACAAGCTTTGACAGTAGCTTACGTTTAATGGCTATGTGTGCGGCAGCGCTTATTCCTATACATTCGTCGTAAGCGTATTTTTAACCGACTTCCAACGAAGAGGTTCCCTATTCATCTTATATATAATTACTATGACGATATTTCATCAATAACAAAAGATAGCGTATTTATATTAACATATTTTTATGACTGCTATAAAAATATAAGTATCACTTAAAATGATGAAGCATAATTATATTTTTGTTCATGAAAACCAACTGAATCTTTTGGAAGGTGAAAAATAATATTTCTCTTAAAAGCTATTTAAATATTCAAAAAACTGCTTAAATTAATATTCCACAGAAAACTTCCGGACGACTTTAATAGCAGTTTCCTGAAGAATTAAACCGCTTTTAAGATAAGTAATACATATTTACCATTTAATTCAAAGAAATCGATTCTATTGTTTGAAAAAACTTTTTTGAGATGGGCCTTTATTTTCCATGTCCACAAAAATTCCACTTTTTAGTTATTCCTGCCCTTAGTCAATATTTTCAATGCAATTTAATTTCACAGATTTAATTAAAAGAGATTTTTCTAATTTCGACTTTGTTCCTCTTTTTATAGCTTATATAAGTTAAATAAAAATAAATACAAATTGAATATATATTCTTCACATATATTGGAACTTATATGTGAAGAATATAACTTACATGCTATCGACTAAACACAATACTGAAAGAAGACCGCCTGTTCACTTTGTGAGGAACTGGTGTCCGTGAGGGGAGATAGCCTGAAGTACAGGTCCACCCCACGACTATGACTATTTACGCATTAATTGATTGCATTATCATTAAGATAAGTAAAAAAAAGCTTTTACTCTACATATTTTAGCCGAACACAAAAAAAAATGTTATCTCATTATGCCTAGGAGTAGTTGTATAATAATATTAGATGTGATTATAATAACAATAAATATATTGCAACTTCATTAGTATACAAGGTTGTCTTTGGCATCCGATTCTCGTTGCTTCATAAAGTATTCTGAAGGTTCCAACTCCGATTTCCGCACGTGGGATGGGAGCAGAATAATTGACTGTATTATAGATACAATCAGACTAGCTTTCGCTAGCGGCTTCGCCCGCGTGGTCTCTAGGATACTATTTATCCCACTAAACGTTCAGTGGGATAAAAAATATCCTATTATCTAAGACAGCTAACTCCCTATCTGTATACCAAATTTCATCAAAGTAGTTTCGGCGTAATCGACGGACAAACATCCAAACAAAGAAACTTTCACATTTATAATATTAGTAGGATTAATCTCTGCTGTGGAGGCTGAAAACATACGAGAAAATAACTGTGATTATTACACATTTCCATACTAATTGTATTAAGTGACCATATAATTCGTTTATATAAAGAAATTTCTTAAAAATTTAAACTCGAACATAAATAAGATTGTGCAAATTGTCGAGTAGGAAAAAAGGAACAGCAAATTTTATTTTTTCGTTTTATGAAGTATTTTTTTTTGTTGCAGTTATTAGTAGTATTAGTAGTTAGTTATATATGAATATACATATACTTTGTATCACTTGATAGAGTTAGTATGGGAATGGGTAATATAACACGTTGTATTAATAGAAACATAAAACGACTTTTTAGCTTTTGCAATAGTCTTATAGTTGTTGCTTATCTGCAATTTATTTTAGAATACGAATTAATTCTTATTTTAGTTAGCTTTATTTAGATAATAGAAGAATCTAAAAATCTTCAAATTGAATAGTTCCGCCCAAACAATTTACTGAGCTGGATGCGAACAGCCGAGGATCGAACTAGATGGCGTGCAATTGGGGAGGCCTATGTCCAGCAGTGGACGAATACGGGCTGATGATGAATTTACTGGATCTGGGTGGACTAACAAATTGCTATATACAATGTCTATCACACCTATATTGCCAGTTGCAACGGCTTTTGCTTACCAGATTCCTAGCAGTTCCATCAACCAAAAATAGTCAGAATTCCCAACAGCGTTGACCTTGTGACGGTGTTGGCGTCTTCTTGTCTGAATGCTTGGCGATGTTTGGTCGCAGAGCGGCCAACTTGGACCGGTAGCAAGGACAGCTGGCCTATTGTTGCAATTGTAAAGGCTTGAACATACTACATACCCCGTTTATTTTGTTCTTGGCCACAGTTTCCGAAAGTTCAAGGCTGGAATAATGATAGTAATATTTTGCACAACAATTGAGACGTTTTCTTATGCCTTTCAGTTGCTTTTACATACTTCGAAGTGTACATCATTAAGCACATATCACTACATAGTTTAAATTAAAATCGCTCTCGGCTCCGTTTATCCCTATGTTTGGTAATCTTTAATTGAAGAGGAGAGAGAGGACCACGAAATGGTTTCGATGCGGTTTTTACAACAGAAATACTTGAGTTGTTGACTTGAGCTAGTTTCTTGTATTTACAAGTTAAGTATATCTATAGTTTAGTAAATATTTTTAATACACTTCAAAGAATAAGAGAAGCATTTATTCACATGACCAGCACAAAAGAACAAGCAGAGCAGAGAAAAGAATTCACTTAATTATATTAAGTAAAAAAACACTGGAAAAACTGTTTTGTTTTCAATTTCAACTCATAATTTATTGATTAGATAGTTTTATAATATCTGTAAAAATCACTCGAAAAACAGTTTCTTTTAATTTCGACACATATTTATTGATTAAATAGTTTTATAATATCTGTAGCGTTAATATCATGTATCGATTGATTCAATGCTTAAATGAATCTAATCTCATACTTCTCTAAATATACGAGTAACAAGCAACCTCATTGAAAATCAGCATAATGAGCCCTTCTAAACATGATCTATACTAATACTATAAAGGCGTAAAGTTTTGTCTTTGTTTTGTTTGTTTGTAAGGGGTAATCTTCGGAAATAATAAAAATTCTATCACCTAAGGGAAGATGATATAAACTATAATTTACGCGGGCGAAGTCGCGGGAATACAGCTAGTAGTAATTAATGACTAGTCTGCGTTCGTGCAACCTTCTTAAATTTATTAACAGTGTATTTAAATAGTAACCGAATTATTTGACTTTTCCATATTTGGTTATCAATTAATGGTACAGAAGTTTATACATGCTAATTATGGACAGATTTTCTTCCAAATTCCCTGTATCATTAACTTAAATAATACCCATTCCGTAAATTTGTGAAAAATTGCAACTTGTTTATTGTGCATTAAAATAAAATGAAAATTAACTGTAATTTAATTGTCATTTAAAACATGATTTAGATTTAAGAGTGTAGACATTGAAGTAGGTATTACTTTAAAACAAAAAAAAAAATACAAACTTCCAAAAACTATATAAATTAAAAGTAAAAAAAAACACAAGTATACCTAAAGTCCTTAACACAGTTCTTAAATCTATGGTTCTGTTTTTTTTTGTAATACATTCGTTTATGAACAGTCAGTCTATAGTCCATTTTGATGATAGCTTCGCTACATAAATTGACAGACAACATTTAATGACATTTGTTTTAGTATTTTCTTTTTTGAACACATCCTGAGTGTGTTACGTGCTTGATTTCATTAAATCATTTAATAATTAAATTACAAATATAGGTTCTTAAGAAAAACTTCGTTTACGGATAGATTTTTTTGTAATACCGAAGTATATCTCTTAGTAACAAAAACACCTTGGATGAAATATTAAAACCTAAACCTTTACTAAACGAAGAGTTAACTTGGAATAAAGTTTGAATTAACATTTTTTTCCAAACCATTTTTCCCCAAACTTGCCACTTTGGAATCTCATAAGTTAGATTTTGTTTTGACTGAGTCTGATAAAGGAAACTTAACATATAATAATTGTTTTTTGTGTTAGCTTTAGTAGACGTGTATATTTCCATATCATACGATTGCATTAATGTGCTCGTTATATTTGCTCTTAATTAATTTATGGTAATTAATTGCTCCTAAAAAGACGTGGAGCTCCAAATGTATGAAGAATAACAGATGTGCTTGATAATCATTATGAAACTTAAAAAAATATCTTCCGAATTCTAAGAGAGATGAATTAAGATTAATTCTAAGCTTTCACCTAAGTTTAGCTGTTGGTGTTCCCTAACATATTTGCTAAAGGAAATTCAACTAAGCCCTCGATGTAATAAGTTCACGGCCACCAACCCAGAAGCAACAGCTGGATCGATTGAGGGTCTTGCAACTAGCCTAGCTCTAGGATCGCCATGACGACCTGCAGCCGTGACCTGGAGGGGCGGGTGCAGGGCGGGGGGGTGCATCGAGCGGCCCGGCTGCAGTTATTTCTGTGCAGCTGCCACATCGCAGTCACTATCCGTGCCTCTAGCCGTACGCGCGTCCGTACTTGCATCAGTAACGTGCAACTCAACTAGCGTTTTTGTGCCGCATACTTCCACCTGTTGCTCAACTTGCAAATTGCACTCTCGCGTGGTGAAACCGCGTGGAAAACTCTTTTTCTCGATAACGGACGCGACTACTTTCACCGTTTACATTCCGCTGCGAGCGATTGCGCCAAACTAGACTTTGCAATATCTTTCAATGTTTGTTGCGTGACGAGTTGAATTCATGTGAAGCGATTAGTTGAGATTCATTTTTTAGAAGACGCGATCTGATGCTAACTCTGTGGTAATAAACATTAATTAATCGGGGCCAATCGATTTAGGGCACCGGGTGAGTGGGAGGAATCTATGTCTCGTCATGACAACGAGCCCGGGCAGAGCCTAGGAAGCCTAGGGCCCCCTCCCCTTCGCCCTGCGCACTGAAGCCTCCGGACGTTGCGTAGGTATTAAATACATAATCAATGACGACCTAGATAGATGTGTATTTAGTCTGTCTTAGTTGTTTAACGGTTTACTTGTTAGTAATATTCTGTTGTTAACTACATGATACTTATTGTGTTCCAACAAGCCTTGAATTATAATCTTCTCCCACTTTTCTGGGTTCTCTTAAAGTTGCCATCGATATGTTATTATTGTGTTCCAGTCTCTCATATTAAAACATGATTTCCACCTATTTTAATAAATTCAATATTGTATGAAAAATGTCAGCGCTATCGAGGTGAGATATGCAACATCTGGCGTACGGCCAGGGATGCAGCTCCGAAGGTCGCCGTGGGTGCAGAACGGGAGGGGGAATTCGTAGGAGGAGGGGGCAATTATTTACGAGCTCACAGCGCAAGTGCATCCGGGTCCCTCGGACCTTGTGCATATTAGTGCCGCCCCACCATCCATGAGTTGACAACGCCCAACCTTTCCTCAATTGATTGTCCATCCTCTGTATGTAGTGATTTATTTTGTTAGTTATATCCTAACTAATTTATCAAGCGATATGTGTTCCGGCGTGAGTAAATTTGTACTGCCATTCGCCTACACGTGGCACAGAGAAAATAAACAGATTGCTTTTGCTTTGTCCGATAATTGTGAAATAATAATTGGATGTCGCGTCGCCGTCGACGCTTTAGGTACGTACTGATAAAATTTCATATTTCGTGGTTAAACTATTTAATTGTTGCATGTTATTCGAAAAACTATTATTAGTCGTCGTTTGCTACTCCAAACTAGTTAAAATTTTTGAAAATTATAATAAAGGTTTTTAAAATGGTTTCGATTTATCTTGTCATTTGATTATGAAAGAAGTTTTTGGTAATGAGGGAATGACTAAACACTGTATATTTTGATTGATAAGTATTATTAGTTAATTTATGAATCTGAGATCTAATCGTTTTTCTTGTTTCTAGTCACTGATATAAAAAAATAAATGAAAACTTATAGATATTGCGAACTATCTATAGAGTTTACGTGCCATTCAATAGATGAATAATAAGTAGATAGATATTATAGCTAAGTAATTGTGCGTATAATTTTCACGAAGCTGCAGTACTAAAGCAATTGCATATACATAACCGAACTTATTGACTGTTCTATGTTGTATTTAAATTCGCATGACGTCACATATACGGTACTCAACTCTGTTTCGCTTTCACTTTGTTTTAATGAAGTATAGCTGTGAAAGTAAAAATACGTGGTGGTACATTTTTTTATTTTTATTAAAATTTTAATGCTTAATTGGATTCAATGAATATATTTAGAAATTTCAAAAGATTAAATCATATTTCAGATTTTTTTTTTATAAAATCGTAAGAAGCTCGATTGAAAAGACGATTCGGACAAGATAGACCCGTGAAAAATAAATAAGACTTAATTTTTCTATATTCACATCTTTTTTTGTTATTAAAAATGTATTCCTCCTTTATAGTAAGTATGGACGGCATACGTATTGGTCGTATGATTGCAAAATCGCTGTGCTCACACGAAACTTTCGCTCGTAGGTCCGTTGACCGTGGATGGCGGCTTTCTAAACCGTGTCGTAATCGATCGTCCATTGTAATTCACGATACGCGCTGCGCGGGCGCAACACGCGATGTCATTAGTACCGTTTTTTGTGGCGTATCTGCGAACGCGTAGAAAGTGCGGAAGATTTAGTAGACATATGTAATTGATGTTTCATGTTGGTCAGGATAAACTTAATAACGATGTACATATGTTATGTCCTGAAAAAGTAGTCATGCTTTAAGCTATACTTTCTTACGTTATTAATACAAATAATATTTAGGCATTCTTAAGTATATTAACTGTCAGAGCTTTTCCGTAAAAACGTCAAAAGGAGCCTGGTAATGTAAACTGTCACTTGTTACGAAATCATGAGTTTACGTAATAATATGAATTATCAAAGTGAAACTAAAGAAATTCAGTCTTGACCTGTTCAGCACAATATATATTTGAATGCTACACAACTAAGGCCACAAAAAGTGTTGAAACACTGCGGACATCAGAGTTACGAAGAATCATGTATATTAATACTGTTTCAATACCTAACAATACGTTAAAGTAGATCGTTAAATGCTTACAAAATTTAAAAATTAAAATGGGGTACAACAAATTATATAAAAGTTCGATCAGTTCCTTAGTCAAACTATAATGTACACACATTATTTTAGGAACATATTATTAAAATGTTCTAATTGCAGAATATATAACAAAATACAATTTTAGTAATTACAGCAAGGCCTAGAGTCGGCCATGACCGCGGCGTCCTAGGATGCCTAGCGTATGTCCTTGGGCAATCTGCCAACCCCTTCCTATACCGCTCCCCCCTCCCTTCATGAGGGCACCGGGACGCGCATGCACAGGAAGCGTCCGATATTACCAAAGACCATTCGATAAAACAGACTAGTAACAATTCTGTTGTCTTTAAATCAAACTAAAATAAAAAGTTTAGTAGTTTTACTTCTGGGTTTGTTTTAATTTTATTATGTTTTCGCATGTAGTTAAAGAAATATTGTTATACTCTTTTATAGGTACTGTAATATTTTACGTTGTGTTAACTAGGTATATACAGATTTTAAATCGCATTTTCACGGAATCTAAATTTATTCTAGTTTGTGCTACAGAATTGCTACCATTTTCAATTAAGATTGACTTTACAGTAAGTTTTTGAAAATTACTTTAAACGCAGCATAAGATTAGACAATATAAAGTTTCTATCCTTCAATCCAATGGAATAATTGATAATTAGTTTAAAACAAAAATTTATTTGACCAGTTATTTTATCATAATCGTGAGTCTGAACCTGATGTTATATCAAAAGCGTCATTAATATCGGGTCTTTGTCATATAAATATTAGAAATTATATCATATTTCTTAATTAAATCTTAACAAGTTAAAAATAAATAAATTTAAGAAGTTTTGCTAAAGAGACAATACATATTTAACCAGGAGTTTTTTTCCTACTTATATCACGTCAATGAGGCTCTTTAGTTTTTAGAAACAAAATAAAGATAGATTATAATAGAAGTAATAACACCAAGTATGATTATTAACTTAAATTGACAAAATTAAATCAGTAACCTCATTTTGGTTAAAAACTCATTTAAATCCATTTTTCTTTTAAACTTCTTAATAATAAAATTATTTAAACATAGCTTCAAAGCTCGAATATGCGTCAGCGAATGTATAAAATTGAAAGGAAAACAATAATAATAATAGTTTTCTTTTCCCATACAAGGTATTCCTAGCTGGAAATTTAAAAAACCGGTCTAATATATATCGGTTCAGCTAGCTAGATGAAAAATAATGATACAATATTAACAATCTAATTAGAGCTAAGTTATAATATATCACCTGACGTTCAGACGGTGTAACTAATGCGAGGTTACTTCACGGCATGAGACTAAAATACAATCTTGTCAGCTCGCGGCCTCCGCACGAGAGGGTGACACATATATCTTCTCACTGACGGGATATTTTGTTGTTTGTTGAAAGGTAGTTGTAGAATTTTCAAAGACCTATGCCAATAAAATCTCTGTTGTATTATAATTATATCAGTAATTGAAACTGTTACATTAAAAAATGCAGATAAAAATGCAATTATTACATAAACTTTTGGGTAAAGACTGTATGTTAAACTTAATAAGTCAAAAAACTGTTAGTATTCTACAAAATGGAATTCCTACAAACTTCAAATGTATTTTTATTTGTGTTAAATAAGACGTTTCAAATATTCTTATTCATATCATGTTTATACGTTTACTTATATAATAATGCATTTGTCAACAATAGCATTTACAATTAGAATAATAATGCATTCAATTCACAAACTGCATGCAATTTTATGCTGGTGTCATACACAGCACGCGTATAAAGCAAATACTTATATACTTATATACCATTGTAATCGGCAAACCTTCTACGCATATAAATATCCAATCCCTAGGTCCTAAACAGAATTCATAGTAGCCATGACTGAAATTTGAACTGAAACTATTCTGTGCACAGTTCTATTCTGTTATAAAAACCTTCTTGCTTCGAACAAGTTGAATAGAGAGCTGTGACGTCATAGAGCTTCAATGAATTAAAAACTTTATTGCCTTTTGACGTAAGTTTTGCGTGATTGAACCTCTATGACTTGAAATCAATGCGAGCGATCGACAGTAGATCTGCTCACAACAGCATCATAAAGAGATCTTTACGACTAACATAAGATTGCGAAGTTACTGTGAGCTATACAGTAAACATATAAATAAACAGATTAAAAGCAAAATATGTTGTAGTGATTTTGTATTAGTTGCGGAATTTTACAATTGTCTACAGAGATACATAAATACTGTGTATTTTCAAGGATCAATAGCATTTATCAGAATTACAATGGAAACTATAGCATTAACAAATTGTAGATATAGCTTCTCTATATTCCGCCTTAGGGTAACATTTTAAATAAGATATATTATTCTTGACTTTGATATAATTAAAATAATTTATCTTAAGACAAGTTATATTTAAATTGAAATGTTTAGTATTTCTTATTCACTCTATTACCGTATTCAAGAAATTATTGCCCATAATTATAATTAAAATAAAAAAACAGAATCACTGCAATTATATTTTACGTAATAGGTACATTGGTTTTCTCGATAACGGGAAATTTGATGACGTATTATTATATTACAGATATGATAATACGCGTTAGTATTAATTGGATAATAAAACAAATGTGGATATTTGGAGAAACCCCCGTATTCTAACTGAAATTTCCGTTAGAGTCCTATTTGCATAATGTTAAGCATTTTAATTTAGATGCATTGATGATTTAGAATAATTGTAGAAAAACTAAAGTTTTCGTACTTATTTTACTCAAACAATCACTACGTAGTATAAAACAAAGTCGCGTTCTCTGTCCCTATGTATTCTTAAATCTTTAAAACTACTCAACGGATTTTGATGTGGTTTTTTTAATAGATAGGGTGATTAAAAGGAAGGTTTTTATGTATAATACAAGACCTCCCGGGCGAAGCCGCTAGCGGAAAGCTAGTTTGATATAAATGTCAACGGGTTAAAATATCTGCATTACTTAGTACTGTCAAGGTCGAGCTGGGTTTAGCCGTTGCAGCTCTCCTTACTACTCTGTCATAATGTGCATAATTGTGCGCACACGTGCCGCTTAGTCACATTCGCACATCGTGGTAATGTGCGTGACTCATGTAGCCTTGTGCTCTTATACTAGACACGTAAACTAGTAAAAAGCTAAAATATAAGTAATCTCATAGCTTTCATAGTCGATCAAAACGATGGATAATTGCAAAGAAAATAAAAAACAAATATTAGTTAGAGTCACACCAGACAGATTTACATGATAAAACAAAACGAGAGATATCCCATTTTTTTTAATAAATTAGTTCTGCCAGTTCTACGATCTCACGAACAAATGATACACACTTTTTAATAGTCATAAACTGAAAACAACTTCAGAGTTCATCGTGCTAAATAGCATCCCACGATTTTAGTAGCGAGTGACAATTCTGAACCTGGGCGCGAAATATTCGATCGGTAATGTTTTCGCGTGTCGCCGTGTGTTGGCCGTCGAATTGGAACGTCTATTTGTAGAGCTCGAGGCCCGTTCACGACAATATTGTAACGGACATACGAAACTAATAACGGTTAACGTCTATTACGGTGAGGGTCGTCTATAATTTCATATTTAATTGCGGAATGACAGTAATCAGTAGGTGGGTAGGAGTGCAGTGCGAATTTAACTTCTAAACGCATAGAGTGCAATCATGCAAACAGATGACAGTGTGTGTGTGTAATGTGCGATGTCGGTGGCCTAGTTACCGATGCATCTGGCGCGCGTTATCAATTACACGAGTGCTGCGCGGGCCTATCCGTAATCCATTTCACATCCTCGCCGCTTGTGAACGTCCGCTCTCCTAAAACTATGAGGTTCATGGTGCTCTCGAATGAAAGCGATAGCCCAGGGGAAAGTGATATGCGTGAAATGAAGATATGTGGTGGGGCTGGGTAACGCGTCAGGTGGGATACGGTGACGGGCCGAGATGGGCGCGCCCCGCAGCGAGCGAGGTTGCGTCAACCGACCGCGGCCCCGTTGGCAGAGCGGGCGCGTATTTCAAGCGGCTCGCGCTGCACTGCGCCGCCGCCGGCGTCCACTTTGCGAAACCGTCGGTTATGCAAGGCGTGCCGCTGCCAACTCGCGCTGCTCGCGCACCGCCGGAAGGAAAAGTGGAACGCGGCGCAGTGGTGCGGTCGCACGCGCCGCCTCTGCACGCCCCGCGACTTAGTGAAGTGCCCAGTGTCGTGTAGTGTCGCTTCTAGAACGTTGGGAATTGTGTTGCGCAAGTCCTACGCCTACAGTGGGATTATTTTAAACTAGATAATTAGCAAACCACGACCTCGACTCGACCAGAGTCACAACCCTCTATTGTATATACGTGGCACATGTGCGTTCATACAGTATACATCACGTGCTCTACATATTTGTCCTGTTACTACTATCGCTTGCATCCATCCTTGCCTAGTAACTGATTCAATGAATCCAGTCCTACTAACAATTTTATGCTTTGCTTCTAACTTCATATTTTATTTCACCGTCTTGAGTGCTTCAGAATGTCACTTGATCAGTTACGGTTTCACCGTCGGAAAAGTAACCTTTGATGGTGTGGGAAAAATGCATCGAGGTATGATATACAGCCCACCTGTTAAGATTCTCCCACAGTGAGTAGGTTCTCGCGATATAACTATGTAGCCTAAGTGAATTTAGAAACGAAAATTTTATATTCGCATTTTTATCATATGTGGATAATCACAATTACCTGCCGTGCGATGTTGGCTCGAGAGTGAAAGCGTTCGTTGGACCGTGATTTCCTTGGCCACTTGAATAACTCTTGCGCACGCCAGCAGACTCGCGGTTAGTAAAAGTGAACCCATACAGCATTCCTAATACAAGTGACCGTTCACATTCACTGTATCTTTACACCCAAGGACATATTAATAGCGAGTACCGGACACATTTATCATGCGGCTCCCATGTTGCACAATGCATCTTATCTAGCTCATGAGATGATTATTGTTTGGCCTACTTTCTTAGCGAAGTCGATCTTGCGATTACATTGCTGCACTTTAAAGTCTCGATGGATTGTCGTGACGTGACGTTACGTTAATTCAGACAGGCTACATTCACTTTTGAATAACACAGATTTAGGTTTAATGCTCTGTGACAGAAATTAAAAAAAAATAGATATTTTAGCTATGGTCCATAAAAACTGAAGTAAACGTAGAATTATTCTAATTTCTCTAAAAGCTATTATTCCCGTAAGTTTAGTTAACTGTCGAGTTAACCACCTACGCGATTTACAATACATGTTTAAATAATAGGGTTATTCTAGCCATTAGATTTGTAGTCGATTTCAAATCATATCCGACCTAGATAACTAATCACGCCAAGTCTGAGCGATAATTGCAATCAATAATTTAACTCTAAAGTGAAACGTTGTTGTTTCAATGAATAAATTAATCATACTATTTTGCGTCTCCTTTTACCATATCACTAGTAACGGAGGGTTAAAATATTGTATCAATCATAATTCAGTTACATTTATGTGCATATAAAAACGTAAATATTATATATCGTGAAAAATTTACAGAAATCTTTGATTAGTGCCATCAAATAAGTATAATAAATATAAAAAAGTAGAATTTTCTGTAATTTTCTTGTCTGTATCCTAAGTTACTCGTATAAAGGCCATTACTTGACCAAAACAATGAATGACCTTTCTGAAAAAAAAAACTTCTTGTCCATAAAATTAAAAACTGCCGGTATGATTTCAACATACTTAACTACTACGAATGAGGTTATTAAAAAAGAGAAGCATTTGAAAATTTTGCTGAAAATATGGAACATTCGAAAACAGAACTTTTTAAATTAACTAGAATTAACTCGATGTCTTACCATTCTGAGTTGCATCAATTACGTCATTCATGCATATGCGGAGACGTGGGCGTTTCTTAAACAAGCCTGCCCTTTAACCAGTCAACTATCAGTTAGATTAAATTGCATATCCTCTACTTCATTTAATAACTTATCAATACATAACATTTCAAAACCATTTTCAAATAGAAAAAAAACTATTTTATTTTTATTTAAAAACCTTTATACATCGCTGGTGTAAGTTAATTGTCACAAGGTTTTTCTTTTTTCTTTGTTGATTGTTAAGTTTCCATCAATAGTCTTTCATAACAATGGGAATATTTTGATCGATTTCTTATGTAGTTAGGTAAATAAATACTTAACAATACTCAGAGCACTTGACCTAAATAAAGGGGTTCCAATAACATTCTTATCATAAAGTATTTAGAATAGGAATCGGGGTCAGTAAACTCTATATTTGGGCTAAACCTAGCAGTTGAGGATCTAAAATTTTGTAAACACAAGGTTACATTGCCAGAGCTTAACAGATGTGAGTACAAAAAATAAATATGCTTATTTAAGACGTAGATTTACATATTTATAGGACAGTTATCGAACATGCAAAGTATTAACTAATGGTTAAAATAATTCAAAAGATTGTAGCTCTACTGAGAACTCATACTCAAGTTAAAGAGTTAGGTATCATGTTTTTTTAATTAACATGTTCAGCCCTGCGATTCTATAAAAATCCAGACCCGAATTCGAATTCAATTTCAATTCTATTGATTCCATATTTTGTATAAAAACACAAAATAAAATTGTTTGAAAATACGTGTCTCATATATTCTATTCCTATGTCATTTCGACACTCACTTCACTTGTACCACGAAATGTTATTACCAATTCAAGGTTGAACGGAAACCGCTTTTTGAAGTGAATTCAGACACTTGAGTAAATTCGAATTCGGGTTTGGATTTTTCAGAATCTCAGGGTAAATAACGCTAAATATATTCTAAAGAATAAAAACAATTAATTTTACCTACTAATATTGAATTTGATATACTACTTACTATTCAAAAAACAATTTCAAGTGCATGCTGAAATTGAAGTCAGATGAAATCCATTTTATTTCTTACCTTGGGACAACCGTAATTGACCTACTTTTGTTGCTAGTGTGCAGGCGAAGTACTAACTACAAGTAAATACATCTGATTACTTAACATTACAAATAAATTAACATAAATGTTACATATTCTAAAGATATTAGTCATCCGAGAATGATAGGCGTATAATATCAATAAATCAAGATAAATTATTGAAATAATTAATTTAAAATTATTTTAGTTCAGCATTTTGAGTCACACAAAAAACCGCAATAGCAATGCAAACGATAACATATATAATGTTTATCATGCAGTTTACATATCATATCATAGTAATTTATAATTCTTCAGTAATTAAAGCATGAAAATTCATGGATACTTTATAGTGAGTTAAGGACAGAATTTCTAATATTTTACCCATGTATTTTATGGAAATAATTATAGAGAAATAAAATACAAATTATTGAAATCTCCCATTGATCATACTTTTCATAAGTAAGTATTATTTATCTATAGTCATACTAACTAGAAAAGTGTAAAAGTAGGTTTACAGATCTTCCATTTAATAAAATTACAAAGTCCCATTGATCCGGTCTAGGTCGCTCATCGTACAGCTTGTTATAAACATATAGTTAGAAAAAACAGATGTTAAAGGATCAGTTTCTTAAAAAGAGCACAATAACTAAAAACCCAGATTATTTTGTAGTATATTAATTGGTTTTAAAAGTTATATAAATTTATCTTCATAACTTTCGTTTATGCGAAGACCACAAAATGATAAAAAAGACAAAACCATTGCTTATTCGATCAAAAATGATGTACAAAACATTGGAAAAGTATCGGAAATCCAATCCCGAAGATAAAGTATGTCACAGATGTGTAAGACTCTGATACATATTTGTATATGTCATACCTACGTAACATGAAACCAAAGGTCAAAGTTTGGATAATAATAAAAAAATCAAACTTAATTGCTCTGTCTATTTAAAACAAATTAGAATATAATCTCGATGCATTTAATAAGTACAGATGTTTACGTCACTACGTATATACACTAACCCAAGTATTTTCTGTGCACGTCGAAAGGACGTCACTGCCACATTCACAGTCGTTAATAAACGTAAAACTTTTGTAAAATTACATCTTTAATGCTTTTAATAGATGTTCTAACGCAATTCGTTGAGAAAAATAGACTATATAAACTATTCTTCAAAAACTAACACGACAGTCACTCTCATTTTAAAACTTGTAGCTTTAAAATCCTTATATCTCAATAGATAGTCGTACGTACTAACGCGAGTATAAAATCAAATGAACATTAATTAAAGTTATCGCAAAATTTACCCAACAAACTTAATGCATGTGCAGTCTATTAGATTTATTTTTTAATATTTACCAAATTCATAATACGAAAAAAGAAGCTTTGTTTATTTTAAAGTAATAAACCGCTTTTTGTGTGAAACTTTTTCGTGTTCTTAATTCAAAATACAATAGTCAGAAACTATTTTCTGTTTGCTTCATCAACGTTCTTTATTTGAATGTTGCTTTCACTTTACTTTCATTTAGAATGGGTTCAAAACTTTCTGCAGCGTGAGAGCTCGCATGTTTTAGATTTTTAAGGTTTTTACTAACTCAATAAGCTTCAATAATCATTTCAAAAAAATGCATGTATTATTGTTACGTTACATTATATTTTAAGTTTAACACTTTTCACGAACGCTATTATTAGTTAAAGGTTTTTTCTCACTAAATGCACGTAGTTAAATACTAATTTTCTAAGCTCGTTTATGATACTTACTGACAGTTAATATCTTGTCAAGTACATATGTTTGAACACTATCTCTATTCTCTCTTATATAGATTTCCTGTTACGTGATCTGTATAATTCATTCAAGTTCATATAAGAATATTATAAATATTTATCCATGCATCTTATCTAGAGTCATCAACGTCCATAAGGCCAATTGGGACTAAGCTAGTTTGCTACTGGATGTATATAGAATAATGATTAGTGTACAAACACGATGCCAAATGTACACTTTGCATACTCAACCCATTTAAAATCAGTATTTTTAATATCTGCAGATATCAAGTACATTATCTTCCTCGATTGTATACACGGGCATCATTTCATTAAGAGAATCATGATCAACACTAACGCTTTGCACTAACGAACGCTACACATAATGTGACTAGGAACTCTAAATAGTGAAATAAAGAACTTATGACACTCAGTAAAGTGATATAAACAATTTAGTGACGCGCCACGCTCTCTCGTCTTGATATCGACAGTTTTCGCCTCGGAGTTCGTGCCAGGAGTGCGTTTGCAAAGCACGCGACAAATTTGCGTTAATGCAAAGTTGACACTGTAAATGCACTATCTGGTACGACACCCCGGGGCGTGTTACGACGCTCCTGATGCCACGCGGAACGACAATGGTCGTAGTTCAGTGATCTGAAAAAGACTATAAACATTACAGACTGTGAACGAATCTTCATTACCTTTTCAGTTTTGCTTTTTTTATTCTGTATCGTTGTGTTCTACGCCTAACATGAGATATTTCTTACGTTACAACTTTTTAATATATTATCCGTATAGAGCTTCCTCTTTTTGAAATTCTAACAAAGAGAAATCTCATGTTGCAATTAATTATGGTATATGTAGCTTTATCTATGCCTTTTAGTTATATAAGAAAGGATTTTGTTTTATATATTAGTTATTTTATATACTTATTGATGTATCTATATAAATTGTTTATATAAGTTTATTTTCCGTGATTTACCGTTGTGTGTTATCTTATTTTTTTATTATTCTATTACAGCTTTTTAGATATTATTTTGTTTTATTTAAAAATCCAGCTTATTATGTAGATAGAGCATGTAATGCACCAATGAAAATGTAAACCTATATTTCTTAATAACTTAAAATAGCATTATGCTTTATACAAAGTAGATGTCGTATGATGAAATAGTGTACCATTTATAACTCAAACAAAGAGAATAATAATGGTAGGAAGCCATTGTGGCTACAGTTCCCTCGTTTAGCCTTCGACGGTAATTATTGTCGGCTCTCGCCACCGCAGTTGACTCTGACAAACTGGGGACTTACCGTTTTTATAGCAACAATGTGTTTATGGCTAGATAACTAGTTTCCATATGACTACGTACTCTTTGGACCCGTGGTAAATTATTATGTGTCTGTTCGAAGGGTTTGGTATTCATGATTGTATTTCAAGTCCTATTGTTAACCATATAATGATAATTGAGTAAATTCATAAACAAGAAATAAGATATCATTCAAAAATCGAATGGAACTGTTAGCCTTATATCTACAGAATCATTAAAATAGGTTATTATAAAAATGCATTACAGTAAAACAAAATTAATCGATTCAACTATTATTTAAGAATGTCAAGTCGCATTAAACTATATTAGTAATAGATATGGTCGATGCATCTCTAACGTAAGATACGTTTCTTGTCGTCACTCTCGGAACGCCAGAACCACAGAATATGAGCCGTGGCTAACGCTTACCTCCTTGAGACGCTTGACGGATTTTCCGACAAATTTGCACCGACTTACAGCAGTTATTAATCCTATTGAACAGCTGTAGAGGAAATTAGCGAAATAAGGCTCTCCTTATGTATCTAATTTCCTCTAAACAAAAAAGTGATATATATGACACTTAGTGTTCATAGTAGTTAATATGTTATTTAAAGTTTTGATTTAATACATTTTTGTAATAAACTTGAAATGGTGTACTGACTGAAAGTAATTATTAGAGTTTGTTATCGACATAACTCAGAACGAGTACGTGCCTACAATTTTGACAGCTGTCAGCTGTTCGCAATGCTCCACCAGAATATTGGTCAAGAATATAATTAGAAGCCCGTCGAAATAGCAACAAACACTATTACACTTGTATTCATAGCTCAGTATTCTCGTGCGACCTTGGTGATTATACCAGTTTCTTCGGTAAACAGATACACACATAATATGTGTGTATATGTGTACATACTGTGCATGTATGGGACTTCTTAGAAAATACTTAATTCATGCTCAGATATACGAACATACGTCAATAAATTGAAACTAGTGGGATATGCGTAATCATAGATAATTATTTACATACCAAAGTTCATTTATCATTCTAAAGTGAAAAAAGTTATAATTTTCATTTGAAGTAAGACGCATTTCAATAAACATTGGTTTCCAAGTGTAACAAATTTGATTCAAAATAGCTTATAATAAAATAGCGTAAATAAAAACTACGTCTACAGCGTGCCATTTTACACTCTTGTGCGTGTTTTTGCGTCTACGCTTCTGTCTATTTACTTGTTATATAAATAGACACAACCTGCAGTATGTGTGTTGTTAGTGAAAATATTAAAATATATTAAATAGAAGACAAAATCTATTAGAGCTCTATTAAGCCTTGATTATTGAAAAAAAAAATGAATTATTTGATTCCACAGAAGGTTACTCAAACACATTAGATTAACTGAATGGATTTGTTAAGAATCGAGTAGGTAGATTACGATAGCTTTACTTTGGTGTAAGGAATAGGATTCTTTATATCCTATTGAAATAATTTGCAGCCAATTTCAATCCTGAAGATCGAGACAACGAAGCCGAGACAACAAAAAGCAGATTGTACACACGGCCGCACGTCACGCTACACACTACCAGCGTGGTCAGTCAGACCTTTTATAGTAGGGAAGTTTTATACAAAGCGCGGTCGGTACAAAGTCCACAATGTATAATCTGACTTGCAACCATGTGTACCTAATTAAATTTTTTTATTATTTGTTTATTCTGATATTATAATACTTATATATATGCATATTTTTTAGTTACAAAATCATGTCGGCTAGTCTTTTTTCACTTGAAAATGCAATATTCCGGATATATGGGCTATTTATTAAATAAAATTAACAACTCTTAATACAAGTGACGCAAAAAAAAAATTAAAATAATTATATGTATTATATTTGATCAATTTCAGATGTACGTTTTAGATCCATTACAAGTTGCGTGTATTAAGATTGCTCGATAGCGCCTGAAAAATGTAAAAACTTTTTTAAAAGTATACGCGTTCAAAACTGTTTAAGAACAAGTTAGTTAACATATAGCAACAAGCAAGTATTAGCCTATTTCTTATCGAAGAACCTAGAAAAATAATACTACTATTCCAAACAATATACTATTTGAAAATCTTTAATATAAAATCGCCTTTATTGTTTCTCACAAAATAACAAATCATTATCTTCATATAGCTTAACATTTTTTTTATTATTATAGTCCAGTATTACACTTCATTTGAAGATAAAGATTAATAAACAAACAGCAGTAGGTCAAGTGTGTTATAAAGTCTGTAAGCAGAAGCCTTACGTGGTACATGTTACCTTGCTTTAATCTCATTTTACTCATGTGCGTCCACACTTCGAGAAAAAAATCTTCTGTTGTGTCACCACTATCATCTAATACAGGGATCGGCACCCTTGTGAGGAAGGGCGAAAAGCTGCAATTTTCAAAATTTTTACTGTTTTTAAAGAGCTACTGGCATATTTCGTTACAATATTATTCTTATTGTAATACATATTTGTAATTTTAAATATATCTCACAGTCATACTCTAGTATATTTCTATCATATTTAAGTATGGGTACTCAACTATAGATTACACGATTTAAAAGATCTTGACCGTGATTTTTATTTTGTAAACGGTACCTGTATTTTTTTACATTGTACGAGCAGCATGCAGCTCGCGAGCCTCAGGTTTCCGACCACTGATCTAGTAAATTCGTTAT